GGATTGGTTCCTTTGGTATGGTTTGTGTGAATTTGTTTTGGCATCTCACCTGAATTGTTTTTGTATCGTCAAAACCATCCTTCGAAAAATGCACGTAAACAACAAGGGCTTGGGCTGGCACCGACGAGACAGACTCTGAGAGGTGCGTGCAGAGATGACGCGAGGTACAGGAATGACCACCTCATTGGATCGATATCGGCATTTGACATGCTGTCTCGGTCAAATTGAAACGGTTGGAATGGATTGTACGACGTTGTTGGGCTCCTCGAAAGATTTGTTCCTTCATTCACGGATACCCGGGACTGGGGGGGGGACCTCGAGATTTAATAATTATTACAGCGACCAATAAATACAAGATTATAATTATTAGAGAGGGCAGACTGTACTGGTACCAACCCGGCTCTCGGGGAGCATGCAGAGTGTGAAGATACAACACAGGACAGTCATTCTTTTAATTAGACTGATGCTTCCTTGAATGGTTAGTTTACCGCCTGTACGATGTACCGTGCTACCACGACCCAGAATTTTTCTTTCAATCGACAGGAGGGAGAAATTAGTGCGTCGACACGACGTTACGCGTAATTAATAAATGCTTCCTCAATCGTTGCATCTCTTTTGACCTTCAGGCAGGACCTCTGTGGAAACTCGAGTCGTGCTACTTTTCGTCTCCTAAATCCTTTTGATCGTCTCCTATTTAATGGATTTCGTCTCCTAAAAATAGGAGACGAAACGGATCGTCTCCTTAATCTTTTGTCTCCTCTTAAAACGTCTCCTATTTTCAACGGATCGTCTCCTACTCTCAACGGATCGTCTCCTAAGTGTACCATGTAAACTGTATGGTATCGTCTCCTAAATCTTTCGGATCGTCTCCTATTTTGAAACGATCGTCTCCTAATTGGAATGTCTCCTACTGAATCGTCTCCTAAATATAGGAGACGATTGCTTTCGTCTCCTAAATCATTTCGATCGTCTCCTATTCCTCGGTGTATCGTCTCCTAAGTATTTTGTCACCAATGACGTTTCCACAGAGGTCCAGTACGTAACATGTAGTTTGACTGTACTACATGTAGTAGTACTCGTAAAAAATGCATACTTTTCGCTGGGTAAGGAGTGCTTTGTGACCTATGACCTCATAGAGCCAGGTACCGTACGGTAGATAGTACAGTAGAATTGAGTAGAGAGGCCAGTGGTACCTGGTACCAGGTACCGGTATCGTACCCCTTACACTTACTTGTCTATGCTGCTCGTGTGCTCGTAAGCCCCTAATAAGTATCCGCATTAGAAATTTATTTGAAGGGTTACTCTGAGAAGAACGTGTCCACCTTGCCTCTACCCAGAACGGATAACCCCCACAAACATTGGGTGGAAAGAGTTGGCCCAATAACTACTACCGTACGAGAGCTCCAGCAATCTTGAAGGACCACGAAAAAAAAACTCCACTTTTCCAGAACAGCTCAGAAAACAAAGCTAAAGGAACTGTCAACACACAAAGATGAGACACAACAAAACATTTCTACGATTTGCCAAGCTTGCCGCTGGTATAGCAAGGAACTTTGCGAGATTTGATCTTCCGAAGAATGCTGCTATTCCCGCAAACAAACGGGTTATTGTGGTTTCCAATCATCGAAGCTTCTTCGATGTCATGGCTGCCTTCACCTGTTTTTCCAAGCTTGGGTATTCTTGCCGCACCATGGTGTTCACTGGCTATATGCGGCATTGGTCCCCGCTGGCCAAGGCTCTTGGTGGCATCCCAACGTGTAAAGAGAGGAGACAAGAAGCCGAAGATGACGCGGTTGAGGCTCTCGAACAGGGCGAGATTGTCGCCATGATGCCGGAGGGGAGATTGGTTGACGAAGTAGAATGGCGAAAGGATGGCGTGGGGCAGTTCCGTTTGGGCATTTCAAGGATTGCAACAAGAGGAAACGCTACGGTTGTCCCCATGGTAATGACCGGAACAGAATCCGTTTGGCCCAAGGGTAGTTGGCTCCCGAGATTTTCTTGTCTCTTGGAGCCCCCATTGATCCGCATTCGTTTCGGCGAACCATTCGAGCTAGACGAGGAGCAAGACCACACCAGCAACGCTGCTTTCGCTGCACACCGAGTTGCCCAGGAGATCCGTCGAGCTGAAGAAGAAGAGTCCGTCGATCTGCTGCGAAGAGTCTGACCAGATTCGATACAAGAAGTCCTGTTCACGCCTGTCGTCACTTTTTAGGATGCTGGCTGATTGAACTCCCTTGGTACCAGGTAGCTACATCACAGGTGAATACAACCGCGAATAAATTTAATCACCAGTCGTGTTTCTAAACTGAGTCATCCAAATTAAAATATTATTGCAGCACTCCAGATCGTTAGTCCGCTTTGATGGCTTTTTGGAATCCGGTCTGACGTCTGTCGGATCCTGCCCCTCCTGCACAAACAAAACAACCAAACATCACAACGTCGACTCAGATCTGCTTCGGCAACAACACTTCCAAGTGGAGAGGAATGATTCCACCGTCCTCGCTTTCACCAACTCTTGGAGCCAAACGCCTGTGAACTCGCTATTGTCGACTGAACTGGAGGCAGAAGATATCAGTTCAAAATAATACTATCAAAGGATCAAGACCAGAATTAATTTTTCCATACAAGGAATCTGCAGCCACAAGAAGAATATATACAACCACAGATACTAGCTAGCTAGGACTGTGTTCCACACAAGCATGTCGCAGCCAAGAATAATTTTGTGTACCATTGCCTGCCTTGCCATCCTGCAGGGATGTGTTTCCTTCAGTGTTTCTAGTGGGTATCTTCTCCAGCAGCAAAAACCAGCAGCATCCTGTCTTTCCACAGGACCTCTGCTAGCGCGCAACAATCGACGATCGGACGATTTTGAGGATGATTACGACGATGAGGATTATGATTACTATGACGACGACGACGATGATGATTACGACCAACCCCCCAGAAGACGCCGCCGTCGTCGACGCCGCGACGATTTGGGAGAATACGCACGCGGCCAACAAGATCAAGGTCTCAATGTACCGTCTTCTTTTGGTCGACGCCGCGGGTGGCGTCTTCCCGAAGCCGTCTCCAAATCTCTACTAGCCGGTGTCTTTGTGTTGGGAATTGGTCTGGGTGTCACGGTCGATTCGGCAATCAACACCAATCCAAAGGATTTGGCTTCCAGAGATGCCATTGATCAGGCCGCGCCCAATGCCGGATTGTGTGCCAAATTCGGAGCTTCGGCCATGGCATTTGATCAACGCGTCTTTGTCAGCTTCAATCCATTTAATGTCTACGTCGCTCAAGCCGACGTCAAACCTGCCTGTGTCCTACGGGATGCCAATGTCGTACCCATTTTGAAGGATAGCCATTTGATTAATGATGACGAAGTTCGAGCGTGCAAGAGGAACATGAACACGTGGGCATTTGTGGGAGATCTCAAGGATACGCCACAATTGAGTTGTGTCTACAGGAGTGCCGATGCTCAAAATGAATTCTTGTCGGATCCTCGCATTGGAATTGGTGAAGATTATTTGGATGATGACCGAGAGGCTGCCAACCGCATCATGTCCACAGGCAAAATGGTCAAGGATGGACTCACACAAGGCCAACGAGATGGATTGCGAGAAGCAGTCAAAGCTAATTAGACCAAAACTGAAAGGCTCGATAGCTTCAGTGGGTGTAGTTGCAATCAAGAAGATAATAGTTACTTTTTAAAGTGGGCTTGCACTTTTCGCTTATTGGTATGCCTTACGCTGAAGAGTCGTCACACGTATTCAGTAATGCTGACATATCCGGCATGATGGACAATGCTCTATCAATCTCCCATCTCGTCACCTAACCACTAAAACAAAGAAGACTCTCACATCGCTTATTGCTGCTGTTCTTCGTTGGGTTCAAACCTCAAGGATGCTCCATTTACACAAAATCGAGGCAATCGCTGAGCCGGTTTGGGGTCGGATGCCGGTATGGATTTCACTAAATTCTCTTGGAACTCCGTTGGCAGGGGACCATCTGGGAAGGTATGTCCCAAATGAGATCCACACTTGCCACAACGACATTCCAGACGACCGTCGAGTTCTCTCTTGTGGCTAATGGCTCCTTCTCGAACGCTTCGCCAAAAGGAAGGCCAGCCACTGCCAGAATTGTACTTGGACGAAGCGTCAAACAGGACGTTGCCACAAAAGGCACACGAATAGGAACCCTCTCGTTTCTCAGAGTTCAACGGAGATGTGTACATTGGCTCCGTAAGGCCAGCCTTTAGCACCAACAGGCGAAGGGGATTCCAAGTCTTCATTTCCACAGGGGAGCTGTCTTCTTTATCTTCCGATACTGTTGTTGTCTTTTCGGTATCTGTGTTACCATTCTCGGCAAAACGGATTGTCGATGCTCTGGAAGTACGCTTGAGCTGAGGCAAACCCAGTGCAAACGATTCACTGGCTGCCACCAAGAGCAAGATAGCAATGGATACCTCGAGCAACTTTCTTGTCATGATAATAGAGGACTAAACGAGAAGTGCAGCTCCCGTATTTATTATTATCTGCTCAGGCACGTCCATTCCCTGTTGTCCATCTCCCCATTGGGGACTTGCCAACGCAGCCTAAGAGAAAATTGGGATCTGTGATCGCATAATATCTTTCGTGGAGATTGAGTGACGTGTTGGCGTCAACTTGCATTCGTGCATTGATTGAATCTTCTTTGGCAAAAGCCGGTGCTCTCACCGCAAGGTGTTGTTGTGCGGCAATGCGATGGCTTTCTAGATCTAGATCTAGAGCCACGAAAGCTGGGTTACTCGGCATTTTGTCTGTTTAAATTTGGGAAAGTGTTTTGGCGATTAAGTGTAAATGTCTACACACAGTTAGTAGACATAAGTAGACAAAGTAGACATTGTGCGACATTAAGAGACATTAGTAGACAAAGTGATACATTGGTAGACATTGGTAGACAAAGTGAGACATTGTGAGACATTGTGAGACATTGGTAGACAAAGTGAGACATTTTTGTACTGTTTTACTGTACTGTGTAGACAAAGTGAGACATTGGTAGACATTAGTAGACATTGTGCGACATTGTGAGACATTGTGAGACATTAGTAGACATTATGAGACATTGTGAGACATCCGTAGACATTGTGAGACATAAGCCACTTTACAAAGGAGCATAGAACATTTAGGAAACTCTGTAATCAGATACAATAGCCTTAAATAGACAAAATGCCGAGTAACCCTGGCAATCAAGCCATGGTGCCAGTACGGCAGATATTGGTTTCGATTGCAACTGCGACTTGCCAGCCAGAAACTAAAGTGCTTCCCATTGAAGGCACAGTACCGGTAGCGAGCAATCCACATGTTGAGGTGCGCGAGGACACCTAGCTTTAACATCTGCGGTAAATCCCATTACCGCAGCCAGGTTCTTATTGTATTCTACCAAAGCTGCAAAGGCGAAGGCAAGGTGGCTGGGAGGACCCAGAGAAAGGTTACTGCGAAGGACAAGGGGGGAATGCGGAGGTTTTGTTTGGTTGATGATGACACCTGGCTGGTTGCAAACGCATTGCTTCTTGGAAGTTGACCGAATGTTGTTGGCTCAAAAGGTCTGTCCTCTGCTGTTGAATCAAAAAGCAATCGGAAAAATGTTCTGTCTGACCAACCACACAGAAGACACGGAGCCAAAAGATGAAGGCTTGATGGAAGCCACAGTGACAAGGGCCGCGTCGAAGTGACGACCGTCGAGGTGTAGAAGGTCAATCAGCCAAATTCTTGTTGACTAGCTACTAGTAGGCAGGGTTCTGCGAGGAAGGAACCTCAGTATTGCAATCTCCTGTGTCCTGACATCCAATGAACAGGTTTCATGTTGATGGGTTGTGGTCTGATGCTTGCCAGCATAGCTAATTTGGACATGCAGCTGTCATTCCTACCGATTGGTCCCTACCAATTTGCAACTGCCGTACGGTACCAGTACCTGGTACCAAGATACACACCCACACTATTAATACCAGTGTGGAGTCCTCGAGTCCTCCCTCTGTTGTGTGGAGTCCCCCCTCTGTTGAGTGGGCGACCTACTAGTAGCTCACTACTTTTAAGATAGATGAGACACAAGCAACTCTTTTCATACGATGCAAGCAACGTCCAATATCAAGCGATGAGTGCTTTGGTACAGCGCAGCTGGTCTAGCTACTAGCTAGCTAGTCGTGCTAAAAGATACCTTGGCTCAAACCCCTGAAAATTCCCTCGTAGACTAGCTAGTCGGAGTCTGCGGAAAAAGATATTAGTGCAGGACGCGACGAAAGATGAGAATAGCTACTACAGTTGTAGTCGTTCACTACTACGACTCTACTGCTGTAGCGAGTACCGGTGGTGGACAAGGCCAGTTCAGTCTTCAATCCAAACGCAATGCGTTTGGAGTGTGCATCTCGACTTGATCGCTAGCTACCGGTGCCAGATGAGGCATGGGCGACCCAAAGGGCGACCCAAAGTAAGCTACATGTATAAGCAGAGCAGTCCTCTGCCGCCAGTACAACTCACTAATACTTACGTGTACTTGCTCTAGCTAGCTAGCCAGCCACATAGAGTAGCTAGCGTTAGCGTTGTGGCCTGCCTTCCCCCCACCCAGAATTTTGCCCTTTCAAGCTAGCAATCTAGATCCGCACCAAAATTCCAAGGGAACAAAACGACCTCTTTGTCGGCCAAATATGATCTCTCCAAATCCAATCTGATCCCTGTGACACCTATCACGGCCGTCGCTAGCTAGCGGCTGTGTTGCAACTTGATCGATGTGTTTGTAACATGTGTTTTTGTTAATGCTCTAGTAGTAGGTTTATTATGATTTGTGTGTGTTTATGCCTCTAAATCTCCAAAAAAGTACGGCTCGTTCCACCTCTATGGTGCTGGTTTCTTGGGGTCAAGAAGGATGAAGGATCAAAATCAGAATCGATTCTGTGCTGTCTGTGGTGTGGATGGAATCGAATCAATCATCCTCTGGTATCAGGTAGTGCCAACGATGGTGCCGAAAGATTGGCAGGCCAGACCAGGAATCGTCCTCTGCGTTGACATGTCTGGTTTGCATCTGGCGTTAGACAGACCCCGCGATGTCCATAGTATTGATTGCCTACAGCACTTGGTGTCATCTGCTCGTTGCTAGCTGCTGCTACCACGTCTCTTGCGCCTTCAGTGGAGTCATCGCTATCAAAAGATAACATCTCGGCGATGGTACTCATTGAGTCACAGAAAATGGTGTCTATAGGAGGCGGACACCTCTCGTCGCGAGGGGTATCCACTAATTCCGCCCCACCATTCTTCTTCTGTTCGGGCTGTGGAGTATTTGGTTGGTGGGAGTTCATTTCTTGATTTGACATGATGCCACCTGTCTTCAGGTTGTCCTTGTTTGTCGTGGATGGTAGAGGTTCCTTAGTAGCACTATTAGAAGAGTTACCTATAAAGCGAGACGACCACTCCATTCGAAAGATCAGCCAACAGTGCAGATATTACACAAGTGTACCACACAATGCCTCCACTCAACAATCAAACAGAGGAAGCACCTATTGCGGAAGTTGTTCCAAACAAAATGAGACTTCCGAGTGCTACCCAAGTTAATGTGGGCGAAGAGGGAGTTTCACGTGGTGGTGAGCTTGCGCAATTGCAGCAGCTGCTCATGTTGTGGGGGGACCTCTCGGAGTGAGCAAAACATCCTTTGGCCGTTAAGTAACGTCAAAGATCTTTCATTTTTTGGCAGTCACACTGAGTCTAACGGTAGAGGTGGCAGAGCCGGAGCCTTCTGGTTTTTAGCCCGTCATGTCGTCCACCTCCCAAGTATCAACAATACTGAACATCCTGGGCTGGTACTGTGCAGATCTTTCTCTGGCAACACATTAATGAAGTCGAAATTATCGTCATAACACAGGTGTAGATACTCCGTCCAGAACCTTACAACATCAATTCAGAACCCAGTTGTTTGTCATGCCTAAGAGTAGGTAAAACCAGGGTCCACTTCGCTTGCTAGAATGCCTCGAAAATACTCCACCATATTCATGGCATAGTGATGACCACCGAACCTCTGATTGCCTGCCCAGACATCCATGTTTCTATCAAATGCCTCAACCAAAAATGCAGCATGCGCCCTGCTGATGGTGCCGCTCGCATTGTGTTCTTTGTGGAGAAAGGCAAAGGATCCTCTCTGTCTCCCACAGGAAGCATGGTGAATCCCGTGTTCTCGTCGTCTTCTTCAGGGCTGGAGTTGGCATCTACCAACTACATTTGTCTTGTCCCGATTTTCGTGTTCTCTTTGATCTTATCAAAAACTCTTCCACTCCTTGAAAATCTCTGGTGGGCCCAAAGATTCCCATGCGCGTCCTCCCAATCAAGATGGTGCGAGCATACGGTATCTCTGAAAAGGCCGTCCGCGGGTTGGTTTCTCTAGATGCGCGTCCCCTGGTGGCAACGGGCCAAAAATTTGAAATAGCGGCGAGCGACGAGAGCGAAGGCCCGACGTGTCGAAAGGGTTTCCCCTGTTACCATTGCCTTGCCAAAGTATAGCTCATCAGTCATGGGGCATGTCTTATTCAACTTGGCAAGTGGGTCTTTTCTTCGCTGTCCAAGAGCAAGGCGTAAAACAAGCCACAGACATGCTTCGGAGCTTTTCGCGAAGGTTCAAGTACGAAAACACCGCATGAAGCAACAGCCGCTCATAAGCCAATGTACTGCATAGCGGGCTGCCGTAATTCACATGAGGCTTGAGTAGATCTTCAATCTTTTTGTCTAGAATGTGTTGTAGAGTGGAATTGGTCAAATTGACGCCTTTGCTCTGGAGTATCTGCGCCACTTTGATGAATGAATACTCGCCTCCAAGGGAACCAACTCCTTAGTAGGCACGTCAATGCCCTATCCACCCTCGAATTCCCATGTTCTTCTTCTGCTATTGTTGTGAATATCAGGGTAACTTCCCTGCTCTGAGTGGCTAGCTATCTACTAGTACCAGTATGAAGTGTGTTTGGAGGGGATATGGTACGGATTCGAAACAATCGATTCGATTCGATTCGATTCGATTCAGACGTGGATACTGTGTGTGACACCGTTGTTCCATTCCCTACCGGTGGTACCGTACCGAAGGACAAGCAAACAACTCTCATCTTACATCTCTCCCCTGGGGCTTCGAGCTTCGAGGAAGCAGCAACAGCTTTCCTCAGGGGGTTATGTTGCAGTACTGCTGCAGAGCAACAAGGATGCAGCCTGACGGGACTTTCCCAGCCAGCCAATGCTTCTCAATGGGAAGATGGGAAGTCAACAGAACAGGGAGTATCTTGCACAATTATGAAAAAAATTGGGTTGGGGATAAAGAAAGTATCTTCGTATCTTTCCGGCTTCGAAGAAAGTTATCAATCTAGCTACTAGCCAGATGCAAACAGAAGGATCGCTCCTGCATGGAGTCCATAATATTACCATCATGAGAGCATCGTACTGGGACTCTTTACATCCTCTGACGAGGGTGGCATTCGTTGCTCTTCTTCTATCTCGCCATCCGTTTTCTCGTCTTTTCGTGTGTGCTGGGACTTCCGCTACCGATGACAGCCCTATCCAATCCTGTTCTGCCGCAGGCACTTGCTCATCTAACCGCGGCATGGCGGCAGAAGAAGACCCCTACATTTGGCTGGAAGCAGTTGAAAGTGAGGAGAGTCTAGATTTTGCTAGAGGTGCCAATGAAAAGACCCTCAAGTCCCTGGGAGATCCCACAAAAGGATCCACCTACGGCAGAGTCTTGGCGGCCCTGGAAAGTGAAGATCGCATTCCATATGTTGTAAAAAGAGGACTTGATGATAATGGCAATGAGCTTGTCTTCAATTTTTGGAGTGATGCCGGTAACCCAAAGGGTATATGGCGAAAGTGCACAATGAATTCGTACAAAACAAAAAATCCAGAATGGGAAACAGTGCTGGATCTCGATGAAATGTCCAACAAGGATGGGATCAGCTGGGTTTGGGAAGGCAGTGAGATCTTGGAAAGAGACTGTGATCCAAATTCAGATGGTGGCAAACGGGTTACTCGAGCCTTGCTCCGTCTTAGTCGAGGTGGATCAGATGCAGTGCATATCAAGGAATTTGATTTTCTCAGTGGAGATTTTGTCAGCGAAAACCCATTCAATCTACCTGAGGCCAAGACGGATGTCTCTTACAAAAGCAGAGATGTGCTTATTGTGGGCACTGACTTTGGTCCAGACAGCCTCACCGATTCAGGATACCCTCGCACTGTTCGTGAATGGGTTAGAGGAACTGATATCAAGAAAGCGCCGATTGTTGTTGAAGGAGAAAAGTCAGATATGGAAGTAGCAGCTTACATAGATGACCAGCGAAGGCGTAATGGGCCCATCTATGAAGTGCATGAACGTGTCATCACCTTCTTCTCGAGCAGGAAATGGGTCAGGATGATTGAGTACGAACATCTTCTTGCACCAGATGACCCTCTGCGGGAAAAAGTTGGCAATCCACCCAAGTTTCAGGAGATTCAAGTGCAGGAAGATGCTTTGGTTGATTTCCTTGGCAATTTGATGATCATTACCTTGCGATCAGACTGGGCTCCCATTCCAGGAGAAAACTATATCCAGGGCTCTCTGTTGTATGTGGATGCCAAAACATTTCTGGAAAAAGGGCCGGAAAATTGTTCTTTCAAGGTACTCTTTGCCCCCTCTGAGAGGACTGCTTCTGCCAATTATGCTGCAACCAAGAACTATCTCATTCATGTGATCCTAGATAATGTCAAATCAAAGGTGGAATTCTACAAGATCACAAGTGATGGCTTTGTTCGTGTTGGAAAAGACGTGGAACCACAAATTCGTGATGTCACAGTCTATCCAGTCGACAGTCTTGAAGATGATCGCTTCTGGCTGAGTACTAGCAGCTTTTTGGAACCTGACACATTGCAAATGGCAGATGCTTCTTTGGTGGAAGCAAGTGATTCTGATGTGGAAAACTTGTATGCCATTGCCAAAATGAAGTCTCTGCCTTCACAGTTTAACTCCTCAAACCTGATTGCTGTCCAGGGAGTTTCTACCAGCACAGATGGCACACAAGTTCCTTACTTTTTGATCAAGAACAAAAATGTCATTCTTGACGGAAAGAACCCTACGGTAGGCTACAATTGAACAAAACTGCTTGTGACGGTGTGCTGGCGAAGAAGATTGTGCTCTAATCTGAATTCCAATCTTTTGTAGCTCATGTATGGATATGGTGGGTTTGAGCAGTCTGAGAGCCCATACTATGCTGCTATCCCTGGGATTGCATGGCTGGAACGTGGTGGTGTGTATGTTATTGGTGAGTGAGTGCGCCTCCTTCAGATTTGGTTGGTTTGCAAGTTGTTGGATCTCACATGCCTCTGATCTGTCGACAGCAAACATTCGCGGTGGTGGTGAGTTTGGAGCAAAATGGCACCAAGCAGCACTCAAAAAGAACAGAAACAAAGCATACGAGGACTTCATTGCTGTTGCAGAAGATCTCATTGCATCAGGGTACTGCAAGCCCCTGACCTTGGCTATCCAAGGTGGAAGCAATGGTGGTCTTCTTGTGGGAAACATGTACACTATGCGCCCAGATCTTTTTGGGGCCATCGTCTGTGAAGTTCCTTTGATGTAGGCTGCACTGTTGTATCAAATGATTGAATGGTCTTGCCCATACTCGTCTTACATTGCTTTGCTTTGCTTTGCTTTGCTTTACAGTGACATGAAACGGTTCAATATTCTTTTGGCTGGTGCTTCGTAAGTGATCACGAAAGAGCCTTCAATGGTTATTCTACCTTTAGTGTTGGTTGTTTTGTGTCAGTCTATAGATGCTGATCTTCCCCTTCTACTGTTAGCTGGATGGGGGAATATGGTGATCCCAGCACAGACGACTGGGACAACTATCTGCACAAGTATTCACCCTACCACAACATTGACACATCAGTGGAGAAGTACCCAGCCATTCTTGTGACAACCAGCACCAGAGATGATCGTGTCCACCCTGCTCATGCCAGGAAGTTTGTGAAAAAACTCTGGGACTTGGGAATGGGCAAGGACTGGCCTGTGTACTATTATGAGAACATTGAAGGAGGCCATGGAGGTGCTGCAGACGCAAAGCAGTCGGCTTTTCTGAAATCACTAGCATATGATTTTATGTTTGAGACGTTGAGTGGGAATGCCAAATTCCTGTGAGGTGTGAGGAAGTACAGCGAGTGAACAAATGGTATTCCTTTTGCACCAAGGAAAAATTGATCTCAATCAACAATGCTGGTAGGAGTTGCTAAACACATCATATCCCAAGTTGATTCGATTCGGCCACTTGGCTTGTACCCGTAGCTACAGAGTGAATCCGCATCATTACGGTGACCGCTTGGAGCTCGTCAGCCTACACTTACTTATACCCGCGCCTCGCAATGTCAGTCTCAAACCCGGCAGCATAGATACTACCTGACAATATGGAGGGAGCCTCCTCCGCCGCATCCTTTGACAGTGCTCCAAGAAAAGCGATTGGTAGTCGAACCCGGAATACATGATACTGCCCGTCTCATTGGATTATTATATATGGTAGAACGAAAACGTTGCTTACGCGGATCTTTGGAGCTTGCAGTCGTTGTGCCTGCTCATCACCTCGTACGGAGCCGAGCGACACATCACCGTTCTTGTACGGTACGGACTTCCGACCCCTACTAGTACATGTATGTAGCGACATCAACCCAGATACGTGTAGCCATGGGCAGCCAATGGATAGATTCGATTCATTCGATTCCATCCTTCCTTGGAACACTTCCGCCCTTGAGGTTCTGTGACGAGCTGCACAATCCTGTTTTTGCACCCGCTCTTCTCTGGCTCAATGGCTGTCGACTAGATATAGCATGCATACGGCAAGTGTCTTCGTGGCCGTGCAACGCGGAACGGCTTGAAAAACATTGATGTATCTAAGGTGAGTATCAGAGGAGGAGCACGTGGTGCATGTCAATGCTCGATCTACGATGCGACCCAATGTAGCTACTCGGGGGTTACTGCTTTGTTTTTAAAGAAAGAAACGGAGGTAGGCGAGCTAGCTAGCAAGAAGCTTCAATCTTGACTGTGTGCAGATAGCAAATACTAGCCGAAAGAGTCGAGTCGCCACAGCCTCCAGTATCGGCAGAGAAGCGAATGATGAGGGATCCATCGTGGCACCATAATTTCCAAACGAATAGTCCCCCAGGAGATTGTTGTTGTCGTCGTTGTGTTGTCGTTATTGGGTTACATGCTCATTCGTCTCATCATTCTTCTGGCTCCACGTGCCATTTTTCGTACCTTTCCCTTCTTTTTCTCTCCCTTTGGTGACAATGTTTCATCCTCATCGTCGTCTTCATTATTATTGTCATCGGCGGGCTGTGGCTCATGATTATTATTTTGTAGTTTTTCTTTTTTGTCCTTTCCCTTCCCTTTTTCCTTGTCCTTCCCTTTGTCCTTTTCTTTTTCCTTCTTTTTGTCTTTCTTTTTCTTCTTTTTATCTCCCTTTTGATTGGGCGGTGTGACGGAACTACCGGATTCTCCTCCTAACTGAAGAGGTGCCTTACCAGTAGCCGGCACATTTGGATTGTAACTGCTGGAATATCGATAATCTCGAAAGGCAATCGTATTGGCGGATTCTTGGCATCGTACCGAGACGGTCTGATAGACTGCCGAGATGAGTTTATCATCGACAATGCCTCGCGTTATTTGTCGATCTTGTTCTTCCAAGACGGCATTGAGGGCGTTGAACTTGTTGGCGCGTCGTTGCCGAAATACCTCTTTCAATTTGTGTTCGAGGCCACGACAGGAAAAGTCGTCGTCTTCGGTGAAATTTCCCGCCTTGATGAGTCTTACAATGTATGTGTTGCGGGCTTTGATTTCGCCGTATTCTTCGGGCGAGTACCAAATTTCATCGCCCGGGAGATCGTCCAAGTGTTCGACCTCCTCGGATTGAATGTCTTCGGAAAATTTGACCGAGATATTTTCGGCTCGCCGTCGACGACGGGTCTTTAAGCCTCCTGGATACGCTTTGATGCTGTCCATCGACGCATTGAACGATTGGTGATTGGCAGTAGTAGTAGTGGTGGTCGTCGTCGTGGTCATCTTGTGTTAGTATTGGTATGGTGGAGGAGCTTGTATTGTCGTGTGATGATACCGGTATGCCGATGGGGGAATACTAGTAAGGGTTGACTATCTGGTTCGCTCTTCTCTCAACTCTACCAGCATGCAGTTTCATTCAGCCAGGACAGGATAGGGGAGGCAACAAGATGCTTTAATCTGGCATCCACGCACTAGCTAGCTACCGGTACTATGCCTTCCGCGTATTTGTGGTTGCTGTTGTTGGCTGTTGGCTGTTGGTGCTTATTGTTTTGACCCGCAAAAGCCCAACTTCGCGTTGCCAGCAAGCTTGGGTCACCAGAATAAAGGCACCGGTCATCAGAATACCATTATTAAATCTCAGGATGAACCTAGACTAGCTAGCAAGATTGGAGTAAAGTTTGGAAGATCGCGGATCGTGGTGCTTGACCGTGGATACACTACCAGCGCCTCTGGCTAGTAGCTGGCTAGTAGGAGATACTAGTAGATTGATGACAAATAAAGGTGTTTGGTTCAGCGCTCAACCAAGGATAACTGCTTTGGAGCACCAATTATCTAACAAGCATTTCAGAGGTAAGCTGCATAAGCAACTAGACTTGCTCCCGGAACCATGCAGCCTTTCACTCAGAGCCAACAAGCTCTCCAGTGCCGGCCCAAGAGCTAAACAAAGGCGTTCTTACTTCCAAGCAAGGAATTCGAGATCCTCCAAAAGGCAATGTAAAACACAGGTTGCGGCGGGACTCTCTCATTGCTGGTCTGCGCTGACTTCTCATCCACCCACTGTTGTGTTCCAAGGAGGTTCCAAAGCATCATTTGGTATGATTAGATAGTTGCACTGCAATGCCTTACTTAGCCAGGAAGACTCGGTTTAATCAAACCTGTTCTGATATGGCTAGCTAGCTTGTGGTAGAACCTCCCTGACCCAACTGTCAGGAACCTAGCTAGGACTGTAGATTCTATTTTTGCATCATCACAGCAGCGTAGACGTGTAGACACAACGGTTACCCCAAGCAATATTTGTGTCTCAATCATGCCTTCCCGTGGATTGATTTCATCCCCGAGATTTGGGGGTCTTAGGGGGAAACTCTTGGGAGGTCAAACGTTGTCGTACGCGGTTGCTTCCCCATGGCTAGTTGGATTCCATAATCTCGCTAGCGGTGTTCCATCGCTTCGTTGCAACCTGGTGTGTCTCTCTATTGTGGGCATTTGTTCAATTACCTCGAACCGAACAAGAGGGCGGGAGAGTTGATTGTTGCTTGCATCTTTTCCTATGACACTTGTGGTGGTGGTGTACTATCCATCAATGCTTCCTCCCCGGGAAATCGAAAAGTGATGTTGTTGTGATATTGATGTACGAGATAGCGTTTGATTTTGTCATTCAATCGCTGTTGTGCAAGTTCAGGCGAGGGTGTTTTGAACATGTCACTCCATTCTCCTTCCCATTGTTCGAATTGACATCCCACCAGTATTTCATCTCGATTTCCTCGCAATCGTTTGAGCATGGAATGGAGCATGCTGCCAATGGTGGATGCGTGCATGAATGTGACTTCTTTGATTTGTATTGGATAAAAGGCCATCAAGTGATAATGATGGCGGTTCATAAACTCGATATCAAAATTCTTCCAACCCATATTGGCCACTGTGAAAGTAAGTATAGAAGAGAAAGATCTGTGAGACACCAACCTACATAGCTATTGCCTGTCAAGTACCGTACCGGTACGGTAGAGTAGATTGTATCTTACATTCTGCAATGACCACTATTCCCTTTCTCATGATATCAATATTAGGTTGCAGTATTCGAAGCAGATAATAGAAACCTCCCATGAAGACTCTCCAATCCCGCGGCAGATCCACCGCCTTGGGGTCGAGTCGACTAAAATCTTGCACAAAGACCGTCTCATCGCCGACATTGACGTCTAAAATGAACCACGGTTGTTGTTCGAAAAACTGCTGCAGGAGTTCCCATGCTTCGAGTGGATCGTCATCATGAATTTGATACTCGCTTCGAAACTCTTGCAGCGAACGGAATCGATGCAGGGCTTCGGACAAGTTCCCACGCGCCATGAGAGCGCAATGAGCGTAGTCCAAGTCGGGACGTTCTTCCAATTCGTCGTCTTCCAGAACAGCCTGCTTCAACGCCAAACACCAATCGAGCTCTTGTTGCGTCAGCGACATTTTGTCGGGTGGCGCTGGTGGTGGTGGTGGTTGTGCCATGGTCGGTATTATGCTTGTCGAATGATGAATCGAATCCAGAATGGTGTTGGCTGCTGTCGAGGGAGAAGAAGCGGGGTCCAACACTGTAACGTAGTTGAGGTAAATATAATATTTTATTAAACTTATATTTACCAAAACTACCAGCATAATTCGTAGTTGAGTGAGTCACTCGGTGACGTGGACTTCCGCGATTGAAAGAAAGCCTTTGGAAATGTGATGAAAAAAAGGGAAATCGACCCGAGTCTGAGCTCCGGTACCGGTACCGGTACCGGTAGCTAGTCTAGAAAATAACAGCAACAGCAGTGAGGAACAGCCAAAAATTCAACAGGACCAAGATGAGCGACGAAGAGAGTGAAACCATGGTGGCCAGTGCCACGGGTACTGCGCCGGAAGAAGACGATATGACCAATGATGCTGTCGACGATGACACCAACGTGGACGACGACGATGACGAGGAGGAAGAAGAAGACGACGACGAAGAAGAAGTCTCCAAGGCACCTTCGGAAGACGATGCCAAATCGTTGGAAGCCACCGACGACATGAGAGAGGCGGCCTTGGACAGTGCACCGGATGCGGCTGAAACGAATACGACAGCAAAAGAAACCACAGCAACATCTCCCGAACCCAAACCCACGCCACCACCGCAAAAGAAATCCAAAAAGCGCAAGGGCATGCCGGCAGGTCTCGGTGGCTCTCGCAAAGGACGGGCACCCGCCGTATCCGGATTGACCATTCCCTTTCGGACCGTCAAAAAGGCCATGAAGTTGGATCCCGATATCCCGATTGTGCAAAATGAAGCCGCCATCATGACCACCCTGGCGAGTGAGCTATTCCTCAAAGTGCTCGCCAATGAAAGCTATACCAATGCCAAGTCACGGGGAAGAAATACAATACGGTGAGAACAAAAACTTGTACATATACTGAGAAACTGAAGATTGCAAAATCAATCAACCTAACGTTGCTCCTGGGTTTATTTATTTATTTGTTTGTTTGTCTCAGCTATGAAGATGTAGCAGAAGCAAGGACCAAAAAGCCGGCGCTCTCCTTCCTGGAAACACTGCTCCCATGAAGGGTGGGTTGGGTTGATACACGACAATATGTAGCACAAGACACACAGTGTAGTTTCTCCTTGAGGAAAGGACCTTGCTAGCCAGTTATTGCTAGTCTAAGTTGGTAGCTAGGATACCTGATCTCAAATGGCTGTCATTGTTAGTCTAGTCCTGCTGCATGATGTTTTGCTACCCGTACTAAAGTAGGCCTCGTCATTCATTTCTTTTTGTGTGCTTTTCTTAGTTGTTTGCTGATTGTTTGTTTGATTGATGCCAAGGAGTCAATTCCTCTCTTTATTTCTCAATCTTTTTGATTTCCTTTTCAATTAGCCCCCCCTTGATCGCCTCAGCCAATGCCTCGAACTGATCCAGATTCAAACTGATGCCTTTCTTGCCAGGCAATTGCTTGCCACCCTTCTCGTAAAACTGTATTCATTATTTGCAATAAATTAATTGACGAGAAGAATTAATTTGTAAAGAGGGAACGGGCAGTGAGACGCCGTACGGTAGCACACCAATGACGCGTAATTCACCTTGACCAATGATGTCTGTGTGGTCTCCCAAACAACAACAATTAATCAATTTACCTCACGGATATCCACCAGAACTTTTCCCTTGAAGGTGCGAACCGTACATCGCTTGTTGGAAGAGAGTTCAAAGTACGCTTCTCCTTGATCATTCTTTTGCACCACGGGTCCAGCCGCTTCTTCCTCTTCGTCCTCGTCGGGAGAAAATTCTTCTTTCTTGTCCTCTTCTTCTTCCTCCTCCTCGTCGTCATCCGATAGATTGACTTGGAGCTTTTGTCGCTTCTTCTTGGGCATGGAGGCGGACATGGTTGTCACGGTAGCTCTAGCTAGCTATGGATGATGGAAAGGTTGGTTCTGGGTCTCTTCTCGCTCCCTGCTGTGCTGTTGGACGGGAGAGCGAGGCTCTTGCGGGGGATGCGGATCTTTGGATCTTTTCGGCGTCAATTCGATCGAATATATCGAATGGAATAATCGAGTCGAGTCGATTCGAGTCGATAGGAAACCCAATGACTCCCTTACTCCCTTTTCAGGCTGATCTCTGTCTTTTTGGACAGAGCCATGCAACCAGAGGAGGACTCTTGAAAGTCTTTAATTGGGATCATGAAAAAGGTTGTCCATGGGATAAGACAACATGTTCCTTGGCTGCATTGGTACTACTAGTGATTATTTAGAGGTACTGAAAGTGGGCTGGAGAGCATGGCCGTCCATGTGATGAGGAATACTAGTAGACTTGACTTGAGAAAGTTGTACATGTAAAGAAAGACACATTAGTTAGGACCTGCAACATTGGGCTCATGCCAATTCTGATCAGAGGAAGAGAGTTACGAGTGATTGCTTCAGCACCCTCTTGTGCTTTCCCTTCGATGTCACAGTATTTCATCCCTCTATTTTCATAGATTCGGTAGCTATGTACTTGCCGCTCTACCGCAACCTCTAATACCGGTACTCTGCCATAAAGTACGGCATGGATATCAAATAGCTCGGACTAACGATACTGTACAAACTTAATGAAGGCAACGACAAACAATAGCTCGGGCAAACAGCACTGCTACATGGTTGTCGAATGATCTTTCATAGTGCCACCATCTTGAGTCCCAAAAAAGTGGTTCTTCATGTTTTGTTCTTGTTTCCGCATGCGTCGTTTCTCCATGTTTTGTCGCGTCAAGTCTCGGATAAAACCACAGAATAGTCGTTCGCCGCTCGGTGACACAACCTCTTGAACACCGAGTTCTATATCGAATTCTTTGCCGTCTTTTCGTCGTGCCTTGACATGTCGTTTTCTGCCAATCACTTTCTTCTGACCGGTTTTCAAGTAGTTTTGAAGGTAGGAGTCATGATTCTTGCCATGTTCCTCTCCGGCAATGATGGAAATGTTTTGACCAATCATTTCTTCTCGACGGTATCCAAAGAGTGCGACGGTGGCATTGTTACAGTTTTGAATGATCCCACTGGCATCAATTTCAATCATGGGATCAAAGGATGCATTGATCATTCCTTGCATCAGATCTACTTTGTGTTTCATATCTGCCTGGTGCTTCTTCTCGTTCGACAAGTCTTTGATAAAGGCACAAAAGACCACTTGTCCTTCCACCCCATATTCCAAACAGCTCACTTCCTTCACTCCCAACTCTACTGGGAATTCGGTGCCGTCTTTTCTTCTAGCTGGCACTTCTCGTTGTGATCCAATGATTTTTTTGACGCCTGTTTCCAGGTAGTTGCGAAGGTAGCTATCATGCTTGGCGGCATGGTCACCTCCACAAATAATTTTGATATTGCTACCCAAAAACTCGGAGCGGGTATACCCAAATGTCTTTTCGGCAGCGAGATTGGCCATTAAAATGGTGCCGGATTCGTCAATGGAAAACATGGGGTTGAAGGCGGCATTCAAAATACAGCGCAGTGCGGTGCCATCCTTGGCAAACGGATGGTTGTCGTCCGTCATCTTGGGTTTAACGTAGGCACAGAGGTAGATTGATTCAGAATCGGTATCTTGACCAATCTTGCCCAATCGGAGACTGGCGGGAAATTCTCCTCCATTGGATTTCTTGCATATAACGTCGTAGTATTCGTGGACGCCATCATCCATGACATCGAACCGTCGGTTGGGACTTTGCGGCTCACTTTTAATCAAATGGTCAAAGTATTCTTGCCACGGTTTGTTGGGTGTCGTGAAGGAAAAGAAGAACGAAAAGTGGTAGGAATGTTTGGGGTCTCCAGCTCCATGGTCAAACTGACTGTTGGTAGTTTCAAAGATTAATCTCTTGGCAGCTGGATTCTCGTACAGGACAAGTCCCTCGGCATCCAGAAGAAAACAAGCTTCGGAGGATTCGCTCAAAGTGGAAGCAATCAGTCTAGCTGATGGAGATAGACCTGAGGACGACATGGTGGCTGCTTATCACTGGTACCGACCAGGTGGTAGAGGTTGTCAGGTCGAGATGGTATCAAGCACGCAGTGTTGACACAGTGGCATCAATGAGAAAAATGAGATGACTTATTACAAGCCCGCTAAGCTGTATTGCACAAAGATACCGTACCTTTCGAGCCTCCCCCTCTTCACTTTTCACCTCAGGACTACTAGCTAGTAGTCTATGAAGACTGTACAGTATTTTCTAAAATTACAGCTAAAATTACCAGGTTTACTTTTAAACTCGGTTCTGCGTTCCTTTTCCTGTGCAGATACCTTTTAGTTAGGTTATTCTTTGTCGCCTTATTATTAGCGCACGCACCGGTACATATGAAAGCAAACATCAGGAGCAGTGGCATCGAATCGAATCGGATTTGGACAGCGTGGCCGCAAAATCTTGGAAGCTGCTTTGGGGGTGCGTTCGGATCGGATTGTTTCAGGGGGCTGATCAGTTTGGTTGCTATCATACTAGTGGTAGAACCTAGAAGAGGCAGAAAGGTCATCGGCACCGGTACGGTATGGGTAACCCTTTGGCGCCCTACCACTACCGGTACATCCAACTCATTAGAAGAAGTGACGGTACCGAAGCCACTGAACGAGGTGCGTGGCCACGGCCAGCTCTGCATTGATGCTGAAGGCAATCCCATTGCTCTCATCGACTCAGGCGGAGAAGCTACCCAGTTGGTGGCAACTGTTCAACTTTTTCCACGGTGGGTATCCAACATCCTCCTCCACGCACATGATGGATTTTGTTTGGCCAAAAATTGAGAGTGGGAATGAAATTCTCTCATCTTTAATACTTTGATGGCAACCAGCTTGAGTCGAGAGTTAAAGACACGATTCCGACATCTACGCAGATGTAATGTTGTGCCACGCACCAAGGCACATAACCATGAGGAACAACGTGGTGCGAGCTTACGTGGCAGCAGGAAACTTGAAAGATCCGATCAACCCATCACAACTCAGAACAAAACGCCAAAGCATTGAGTTCACAATACCAAAACTAAAGGTACTAGCTAGTAGTTTCACTCGTTATCATACCATCTCTTCTTCCTTGTTTCTATCCAACCATGCGGGCCGTTAGTATCTCCCTTCTTCTCCTGGCCGCTGGCGCCAATGCCTTCATGCCCCAAGGAGTTTCTCCCCGTGCCGATACTCTGGCTGCGAACATGTATGTTCCCGACGGCTTTACCGCGGAATCCTACAAAAAGTTCAAGGCAGAAGAAGCCAAGAAGAAGGCAACCAAGAATCTTGGAAAGCTTGGACCTCGTGGATTCCAGTCTCGA